AGAATCTCATAATAGTAATAATAATAATAATCTTTTTTGTTTAAACAATTCTCTTGGTAATCTGAATGAACTTTTTGCAGAACACATTCGCTAATTACCAAATCACGAGACGGATTGCACAAGCTATGATGCATCAACATGTTCGCAACGGACTCGAGACGTCGCCACGTGAAATATCGACATCCGTATCCGTACCCGTTTCTGTATTCGTATTGACGTTTTAGTGAAATACGAGAAAAGACAAGAAAAGACGAGAAAAGCAGAAGCGAATTGGAAAGAAGGAAGGAGACAGGGGCAAGAGAAAAGCAAGAGACGACTCACCTTGGAAGGGTCTGGTATCCTCTTGAGACCAAGACCTCGCACGATGCTCCTTCTGATAATATCCAGCTCAGTCTCGTCGAGAACGGTCCTCGTCGTTGGTCGATCCTCTTCTCGGAAAGCGTCCTCGTAGACGTCCTCGAGACCGGTCGAGCGGTCGAGGTCGTGTCGAGGACCGGTTCGAGAGAGTGGATTCTCTCGCGGCAGCATCGGCACGGCCGACGCGGCCGGCACGCAAAGCGCCACCGCTGCCACAGCCACCACAATCGCCACGATCGTCGTCGTTATTCCAAACAGACGGGAAGATTCGTTGTTTCCGGTCAGCCAGCGACGTCGATGCCAACGTCGACGACATCGTTCACACCTCTTCCCTTCGACTATTGTTCGTCGATCTAACGACTTCTCACGCGACACTCGACACCATTCGTTGGAAATCCTCGAACAATACTCCCGAACAATATTATCAGTTCTCCTCTTATCCTGAATGATGTCGTCGAGCCACCATTTAGATTCTTGACTCGGAGAGGAACCAAACGATGAATCCTCGAGGCGAACCACCGTGCTATCTCTTCCGGCTTCGTCGTTGTCGCCGCCGCCGCCGCTTGCCGTCTCGACGAAGTATCGGAAATCTAAATCGTCGGTCGCCTCTTGAATTCCAACTACGGCTATCCTTCGACGATCGTCCCTTCTCGTTCGAGCGTTGTTCTCGAAGCAACTCGGAGCAGTGTCTCGGCCGGCAACCCCGGTCGGTGCTTTCGATCCAACTTGTGGCACTATCACGCTGCAAATTGCGATCCCGCCAATAGGGACCGCGACGAGAGCGCGACCGGAACTGGCGCCGTTTCGCTCGAGCAACCACACCGATGCCTCTTGTTCCTCGTTGTCACGGGTCACGAGTCGACCAATCGTTGCCAGCTTTCCCATAGCCGGCTCCTGATCCACGAGTTCAAACCCGATCCACCGGGGTACCTCCGCCCTAGGAAGCACCTCGTCGCTATCGTCCTCTCCTGCGCCGCTTCTATATTTAATTTCTTCTATTCCTTTTTGCTCCTGATTCTTCTTCCTTGATTGTTTTTTTTTTTTT